CCTACAGCACGCAGCATAGCAGCTGCCAGCAGGGCAGCATCAGCCCTTCCTGCACAGCCCAAGCGGTGGGGTGGTCGAGGCAGGTGTGCGCACAGCCACCGAGGGGCTATTCTTCAGCCTCTCAGCAATGGAATGTGGGAGCTGTCTTGGCTTAAAAGCCCTACAGGTCCTGCGGGAGATTAAAATCTGTAAGAACACCTTACACATAACCTGAAGGGGTCCCATAGGAATATGTCCAAACACACAGGTTACTACATTCGGAGAAGCCAAAGATATGGCTTCTTAACAGTAATTTATAATTTTCTCAGTTCAGATACAGTTTACCAATTAATAAATAAGTAAATAAATCATTCTAACATAAGTAATATTGACAAGTAATGTAACAGATTTCAATCTTTATAAGGCCACCAGAGGATTACAGGTGGAAAATCAACTGAAGGCCAAGTTCTCATTAAAACTGAAGGATCTGGGGACCAGCAGGTGTCATGATGTGGTTAAGGCACACTGGACTCCCACATGGTCGGCCCTGGTTTGGGTCCTGGATCTGACCACTTGCTTTCTCTCTCTCTGTCTCTGTCTCTCTCTTTGTCTCTTGAGCATGTGCCCTATGGCAAATTTTAGAATAACAATAATGATAAGTAAAATTAAATAAATAATTCTTTATTACAAAAAAAAACCTGAAGGATTTATTGAACCTTCACTCAGACTCTAAAGCTAATCAAGGCAGTAGTCACTGTTCTGTCAGTCCCCAGCAAGCTGGAATCCAGGTGAGAAGAATGAGATTCTTATCTCCTTCTTAATGCCTAACCCAGGGACATATTAGTTGGTTAGAAATAAAGATTTTTGTACAAGTGTAGTCTCAAGAATGTAGTATCTTCTGTTGTTACTGACAAGAAGGAAAAGTAAAAGGTTTCCCCTTAATTTAACTCTCCAGTACTGATGATGAGGATCAGAAACCTTTGCTAAACATCCCTTTTGTCTACACTTAACATAGCTGAATTTGTTCTTCCTAATGATTTCATAACTGATGTCACTGCCTCTCCTCTACTCTACCTCCCAAAATCCCATCCCTAGAATAAAACTAATGAAAAAAAAAATACATCCTTCAGCCAAATAACCATTCTAATATGCCAATTTGGATTTCTTTTTAGTGCATACTCCAGGACCTATTGGTAAGTTCCCATTTATATATCAACTTATCTCTAGTGACTTTCTACGTCTGAAGAATTTAACTAGCTCTAACTACTTACTTTTCTGGATTAAGGACTTTAAAAATCACATTTATCAGACTTTGGTTACTGGTATCCTAGCTATCTTTGAGCAACCGAACATCTTTTAGAAAATGAAATTTTCATTGTTTAAAAATAATAGGCGGGCATTTTTCCAATAATCATTATAGTGGTTTGTCAGTAATCATAAGAGCTTTCTAAAGAAAAAAATATATATATAATAGAAAGAATCGAAGGAGGATGTAAGAAATAAGAAAGAAGATAAAGGACCAGAAGATGGTGTAATGGTTACATCACTGGCTCCCACATAGTCGACCGCTGTTTGAGTCCCGGACCCAGTGTCTTGAAACTCATGCCAGGCATGAGTGTGTGCGTGAGGACCAACAGGTGGCATAGTGGTTAAGACATTGGACTCCCAGCGACCAGTGGTTGGAGTAATGGCTGTCGCTGGACTCCCATGAAGTCCATGACGGTTCAAATCAAAGACTTGCTGACTTAAACCCACACTGGGCACGTGTGCGTGTGTGCCCAAGATCCTGAGAGGAGAATGGAGGAGAAGGGATTGCTGCGTGGCCATATCTCCTAGGGGATGATTTCTCGCTTTCTGTCCGTCTTTTTTTGTCTTTCTTGCGAGCACACACACTCTATAGCAAAAACCTCTCCAAAAAAAAAAAAAAGACACTGGACTCCCACATGATCGACCCTGGTTTGGGTCCTGGACCTGACAGCCTGCTTTCTCACTTCCTCTCTTCCTCTCTCTCTCTTGTGCACATGCCCTGTAGCAAATCCCAAGAGGAGAATGGAGGAGAAGAGATTAAAGTGTAGCCATCCCCTTTTGGGGTGATTTCTTGCTTTCGGTCTGTCTCTCTCTTTCTCCAGTGAATACACACACCCTATAGCAAATACCTCTCTAAAAAAAGAAAAAAGATGGCAAAAGATAGCTAAGGGAGTAAAACAAAAGTGATAAGAGAAAAAATAGGTAGAGAAAAATGAAAAAAAAAAATACAATTTAGAATTTCACCTTCAGCGCCTGTAATGAAAGGCAAGAATTAAAATGGATATCCTTCTCACTAAAACATGGTAACAAGTCCCCTAGAGGAAGATCTGGCTATTACGGAG